AGCATGTGTTATTTTTGTGTATGATTCATACGTCCTACCTTGCGTAGGAGTCTTGCTAATCTTTTTAGGATCCATTTTAGTATATAGTAGACTCATACATTTAGTAAGACGAAGATTTAGTAGAACATTCTCCCTTGTGTAAGAGTCTTGCTAATCTTTTCGGTATTAACGATTTTTAGTATGTTGTAGACTTATTTATTTAGTAAGACTAAGATTTAATAGATATATTCATAGAAATATAATGCATTATAGGTACACACATATTTCACATTTGCATACTTTTGCATGTTGCCACAGAGAATATATCTATTAAATCTTCGCCTAATAATTCAACAAAATCGGAAGTAAGGTCTGTAAACTTAATAATTACCCATAATTATTATAACATTGTCAGACACTCGCTAATATAGATATTGACCTTACAGAAATGTTGTATCCACAGTCAACTTGCAGACAGAGCTGAAGCTCATGTATATAAATGTAAGGACAAGAAACTCTGAATATAATCCGGCTAGATTTACTGGATTAGTCATGAGAATACAGAACCCTAGAGCGACCGCATTAATCTTCAGATCTGGCAAATTAGTGTGCACTGGTGCAAGAAACGAAGAGGAATCGTTGCTAGCGACAAAAAAGTTTGCTAGAATAATTCAGAAGCTTGGCTTTCCTGTAAATAAAATTTCACTTTCTTTCTACAGCTACTGATGATCTAGATCTGGGTTTTTGTTAATGGATAATATTACTTTTTTTTTTATTATTGTAGGTGAAGTTTACTTCTTTTACAATACAGAACATTGTTGCAACGTGCGACTTGAAGTTTCCTATTAAATTGGAATCTCTAAATCAAAAACATGGTCAGTTTTCTAGTTATGAACCAGAATTGTATCCAGGTTTGACATACAGAATGTTGAAACCCAGAGTAGTATTATTGATATTTGTAAACGGCAAAGTTGTGATAACAGGTACAGTTGATGTACATAATATACACTTATTATACATGTATACACTGAGAAAAAAATTTACTAAATTTAAAAAAATGTTTATTTGGATACAACTGTGAACATATTTGTTTAAATTAAGTAATTATTTTCTATAATCAAAAAAAGAAATTTATATTTAAAACTTTATTTAATTTTAGAAAATAATTGCTTAATTCAAACAAATATGTTCATAGTTGTATTCAAACAAATGTTTTTTGAAATTTAGTAAATTTTTTTCTCAGTGTAACACTGTCGACATTATAATATGTTTCATACTTTTACAGGAGCAAAAAAACGGAAAGACTTACATGAAGCATTATTTTATATATATCCGATATTGAAAAGTTTTAGAAAGCAGTAGTTATCATTTACTCACGAACAAAACATGTTTTATTAGAATAAAACATGATATAACGCAAAAATTACTGATAAGTAAAAGAGAGAGAGAGAGAACTACATTTCCAGTTACGTGATCATCCTAGATATATATATTCGCATAAAATGAACCAGGTTAGCGTTTTATACATTTATACATTTTTTGTATGAATATGACAGGGAAATATTATTATATCTTAATATCTTATTTATTAAGCTTATAATTTGTTCCTTACATAGGTTAAATAATGTTATTTAATCAGTTAAGAAATGCTTTTACTAGTATATTAGAGCTGTAAATTGTACAAAACTATAATAAATCTTTACACATTTCAAATAAATATACGGTTAAAATGAAATCAGGATTGTGATTAGATGAACTAAGAAAATCGTCTTCTATATCGATACTAATTTACATAAATATAAATTTTTGGTAACAAATGCCGAAGTGTTATGGTTAATAACAACACCATGTGCTATCTTGTTTATTAAAATATATATTTCAGAAACTTTACACAATGAAAATAAACATCAATATCGATATACTATATATATCAAAATAAAATATAATGGAAAAACATAATCGTACAATGTGTGTTGTGTGGACAGTTTTTATACAATGTCTCACTACATTGGAATTATTTTGAATGTTTGCATGTCGACGTCTCGACGTCAATGGTAGCTTTTTTTTCTGGAAAATTTTAACCTACACTTGTGAATATGTTGAAATTTAAGGGAATATTCAATCGCTGTCGGATACAGAAAGGTGTTCCGCGAAAACATCAACGGAGTACTCCCAGAAGCTCTAACTCCGACGAATCTCGCGAAACTGCGCATTACGTCGAGTCGAAAGAACACCGGCACGTACATCAAAAGTTACTCTCGTTTCGTAAACTGAATAATCTGTCGCGTGTAGAGGTACAATCTTTATAATGGTTAAAACGTACACATCTGTATATAATTACATGCTTCTGGCAAAATTTCTATTAACGGCTCTATGAGAAAAGTGTATAGACGTTAATACAGCTGCTGGTAACAGCCATGGTCCATTTAAGAACTTTGTTCGGTGCATTGTCAGACTTGGAAAACATACAACGTCTTTCAATGCTCGACGCTTTAACGCTGCGTAAATGCGTGTGTCTTATATTTATTAGTTATCTGGACGCGTTATCTAATTACACGTCTGATCGATACTGGAATAAAAGCTCCGTTTTTGCTCGATCGGCGTATACATACGTATATGTGTATGCATATACATATCTTTAATTAATGAAACATGTAAGAATTATGCGAAGTGATACGTATGTGTGTGTTTGTGTGTGTGTGTGTGTGTGTGTGTGTGTTGTGTATGCGTATGTATATACGTGTGAATACATTCTTCTTTTTCGAGCCTTTGCTTCCGCAGTCTTTAATCAATCACGTGTATGCCTTTTTTCGCGGCTATCGGCAATTTCTCTCCTTGGAAGAATGGGTTCTCTTCCTGAAATAATAATTTATATATCTTTCTGTCTTCGACATTATGGTCGTTCAATTAATTTTGATCGTTTAATTGAGTGAAAGTCTCCTCTCCAAACAATACACAGGAAATTAAATTTACATAATTTTGAACAAAAATAAACTCGGATTGTTCGGGTATCAATGTGTTATCGCAATACATTTACCTGAAACTGTTCGACGATTTGGTTGAAGTCAGAATTCGAAATATGCATGTTTGACAAGTTGTTACTGTTTCCGGAGTCGCCTGAGCATTCCAACATGTGTTCCGTATCGCACATACAGTCCTGTGCACTCTGGTAGTCGCGACTGAACGCTGCTGTATTCTCGAAATTGGTGAGGCAATTGTTTTCGCCTGTAAAGCAAAAGATTAACGTTCAACTGTATTTCTCATGCGCTACTATCCCTTTCTACATTCACGCATGTCAATCCGAACGAATTCCAAACGAATTCACTCACTTGTGTATCCGACTGGGCAAGGATTCGGCGGAGTGCAATAAGCCGGCAGAGGATTTTCTGTCTTCTCGTCCTTGATTCCCTTCAAGCCGGCCGACTGAATCCTATGCCTGTCGTTTCCCTTGTTGTTATTGACACGCTGATGGCTCCACAGCGTGCTGTGCTGCAGATATTCCTGATCTCGTATACTCGGGTTCGGATTTAACGTGTCGATGCCGTCGTAATCGGCCGGCAATTCCAACGGCAGTTCCTTCGCCTTCTCCGGATATTCCAGAAAGTACGGATCCGGCGCGTCCGCGAACTCGTTTCCGAGCTGATCGATGATCAGCTCTCGCAGAAGAGTGTCGGTCAACATGTGCTCCTCCTGGGGAGTACATCCGAACAGAGGATTACACGGTCTTTGAGAGTCCTGCAAGAAACGGATGAATGACAAAGAATCGACAGGAATTTTCATCTCGCGAGAGCCGCAGGAGGCGGCTTCGCGATCGTTCGATTTTCGCCTCTATCTCTTCGTATCAGTTCAATTCGCACTAGATAAAATTGATAATAAAAAAAGAAGGGAAAAGAGGGAAATGGACTCCCCTTGAAATATCGTTCCTTCAGCAGTTTCTCGACGTCTAATCCAACATTGATTTACGCTACATGGATGTGTCGTCCATATGTTGGAATATGAGAGGAGTGAGAGAGGGCCTTTGGACGTGTGCAAATCGACGCCTTTGTAGGAACGATTCCTCTCGATCCATTCTGATTCATCTTCTTTTCGCAGGACTGCGATTCGCACGATTACCTTGATCGACGGCAGATAGACGTTCGCCTGTGTGGCAACGGCGATCGAGAGGAGCAACATGCAGTACGGCATGGTGGCGGATGTGCGCACCTGTGAAACAGCGCAGAAAGATACCCTTCATTTCAAGCGGATTCTTCGTCTGTTTTCAGGTTCGACGACGTGACGGATCGCTTAATCTCGTGAAGCAAGTTCTAATCTCGTGAAACAAGTTCTATCTCTCTTAAAATAAAAAAAGGTACCTAAAGATACACAAGCTTCCTCACGGAGGTGGTTATCGTCTCAAATATAAATGTGTTCCTTTAAACTGAACCGTTTGAACTGATGTAATAAGTTTGAGCGAAGTAAATATATTTTGCTTCACTCTAACTCATTGCACCAGTGTTCACCGGTTCAGCTGAAAAGAACAGACCTTATATCGCAACGGCGACGTTTCTCACTTGGGAACGATTCCTCGCGCATTCTCGATGATTCTCTTTGCAGAGACGGAGATGTATACGACTCGGATTGCACCAATCGCGCACCACGCCAATCGTATCACGAAGCACCATCGCCAATTTTGCGCTTAATTACATGTATCAAGAGCGGCGTAGGCCCGCGCCTACACGCCACCCTTGAAATAGCGCGGCCCTTGCCTTTTATATTCGCGCGAGGCGCGCAACTCACCGCGCGTGACGACGAGAAGCTGGCCTGCGATAGGGATGCCGGTTCGACACACCTGGTCGTCACACCTCGAGGAGATGCTGCACCGGTTCTCTCGCGTCAGCTGCACACGTTCCTCGCCGCCTCCGCCGCCTTCGCCACCGTCACCGCCGTCGCTGTCATCAGCGGCAGCAGCGACGCGACGAGCGCCCTTCGCGGTCCCGCCGAGTACCAGAGTATTGATTCGCCTACCTCGTCGCCGTCGACCTCCCCTCGTTCACGGGGCCTCCCCGACACGACGTACTCC